GGGAAGACGGCTTTATGAATGTTCTCCGATGGGAAAGTGGAATTGTAACAATAATTTAGTAGGCAGATTTTTGCTATGCCAACTGCCATTCAGAATTAGCAAGTGAAAATTGTAACCGAATACGGCATTTACGAACTTTTAAAATAATCCAATATTATCATGCTGTCAATAACCTACAAGAAATGCCATTTTATCACCTATCCCTCTTTTGAAGGAAGGCACCTTCGAACCTTTTTACTATCCGAATTCCTCTAACATCAACTAGAACTAGCATAATCTTATTCAGTGAGTTTCGACGTGTCAAAGGACTGTTGCATTGGCGACAATTCTACTGCCTTCTCAGAAATAAATGCCAGAAATTCCCACAGAAGCGTTGATAAAAGGTGATAAGTATTGCGCTAATTGTTCATTTTTGACAGAAAAGTTATTTGCTTAAGCTCCAGGGGTCAACTTGAATCTATGTCGAATATCATATTTGGAAGTTCGATGCTTTCCCATCAAAATGAATAGTATAACCAATCATATTGGCTGAAATTGATCAAGTAATTGGTGAAAGGAGCAAGTTTTCCAAGCCAGGGGGAGGGGGACTTAAAATGGCTGGGTAAGTGCTTAAATAAAAGATTGGCTACAACAGACTTGAACATTTTTTCCTTGAATGGAAATTGCCTCTTATTGGATGAATCCTAATTTAAGCAGACGAGGCTTTAAGACTGGAGAAATGGTACTTCCTACAATTATAGTGTGTATATACATATTCCTTTTTAGACATTTTACTCTTCATGGAAATTACGTCCTCTCAGAACCTTTGTGTAACAAAATATCAATGACAACCATCAACAAGAGAAAACGAACTACCATATCAATAAAATGTTCATTTCCTGGAGTAAAGGAACCATTAAAATCAATGCTATATATATATATATATATATATATATATATATATAAACGACAATATATTGCATCGTTTGTTAATATATATTGGATCAATTAAGGAAAACGAGCCAACGGAGGTTGGAAAACCATCAGCATGCTCGAGGCTCTATGAACATAAATTTGTATCTGAGCTTTAGAATATTTGAAAATGAGTATTGGAAAATATTACGAGTTCCTGAGTTCAAATGATTTCCTACGATGGGGAGCAAACAATAATTTGACATTGTTGTACTAACAGAGAAATTGAAAACAATTAATTCAGAAATGCCTTCCACTAATGGTAGTATAGAAGATTGAGTGATTAGTTTCCAATTAGGATGTTTTCAATACCAGGAGATATTGAACTGAATGACTCCTTTCTTACCGAAGAACGTCCAAGAAGGACACAAGTTGGTAGCCAACTTGCTGAAGAGAAAGGACTTCACGGCTTAATTCACTTAGTTGCTACTCGGTCTGACTCAATAATTCAGGAAGAAGGGTGTGCGATAGACTCACCTCCACGTGGTGCACCCTGGGCAACGTATACTCATAAGGCAAAAAAGTCTATTAACTGGCAGTTGACTTCTCACTTCAAACTACCATCACCCCACTGTATGTCATATTCGACCCCTTCCACAGTACTCACCTCGCCTTTTTCTATTTTGGTCTCTTTTACATCTATGAAACACCCTTCTACTCCCCACCCCTTGATTTTCTTCTACTTTGATGTTCCTTCCCCTCTGTGGAGCCTGAAGTCAACTAAAGGGCTAATGATTACTATCAAAACGCATGCTGTTTGATATAACTAAATAAATAATTCAGGTAGAATTTATTCGATTCATCATTTTAAATGGAACTAAATGGATCCTTGCAAAATGACTCCCTTACAAATCTAAGTCATTGAAAGTCAAATTATTCCAAAATTTGACTAAAATAATGACGAGATATGGCACTGGGATAAATAAAAAAAGAGGCTGATACATTTGGCAAGAATATTTCACCACAGTTTGCCAAAAGGGCAATCAATCGGTCCCAATTGAACACACACACACTTGATTGAGTAACACAAAATAAATGAAATTGAAATGAAANGGCCCATTTTGCTGAAAATAAAACCCTTCATCTCCAAAGTCTTCTCTAATGCTTGGCATAACAGACTGCTGCAGGAATTTCAAGAAAGTGGAATCGATTGCAGTGCTATTATAATTTAAAATTATTTCAAAATGTGTAAAAGGACTTTCAATTATCATTTTATTGCTTATTTATTACGTTTTACTACATTTAAATAACTTTAAATAGTCCATAACTTAACTATTTGTGTTTTTTTGTAGATTGAACCCCTGGACATAAGAAAGACAGCCAGATTTAACTTTTAAAAGAAAATTTAAAGTAAAAGGCTACTGGAAGTGCGTAAATGTAGTTGGTGTGCAAAGACAATTTAGGAAGGAATTTCAATGAACACCTCCAACGCGAACTACCATCTTTCGAAGCTGAAGGATCTATTGTGAACGCCCACTAACAGCGTTTCGGAAGACCACGAATAGCAACAGTTTGAGAACAAGCAGTGAAAATCAATTAAATTATACTTGTAAAATATATATTTGTGCTGTGAAATAATATAATTCTAATTGGGCGTCATGTTTACAATTAGCTTTAATGTGTATGCATTTTTTTGGAACACCCTAAATCTACCTCAGAAGATCAACTAGTGCTCCAGTTTGGACTACGGTGAAATCGCACACGTCTGATAAAAGCACCCACCTCATAGTACCGGGATTTTACCATGTCAGTGATAATTATATATGTAGATCTAAATAGATCTAAAGTTATTTTTAAATATTCAAAGGCAAATAATTTGATAAATTATTGTGAGTATTTTCTATTGTTGAATTTGAATGAATCAATGCTGCAAATACGTCGAATTTAAATTCCAATTATCTTAAACTCTACTATTCAATTATCCATCTACTTATAAAATTTAAGTAACAAATATGGAATATTCTACTTTAATTAGTTGGGGTGTGCAATAGACTTACCTCCACGTGGTGCACCCTGGGCAACGTATACTCATAAGGCAAAAAAGTCTATTAACTGGCAGTTGACTTCTCACTTCAAACTACCATCACCCCACTGTATGTCATATTCGACCCCTTCCACAGTACTCACCTCGCCTTTTTCTATTTTGGTCTCTTTTACATCTATGAAACACCCTTCTACTCCCCACCCCTTGATTTTCTTCTACTTTGATGTTCCTTCCCCTCTGTGGAGCCTGAAGTCAACTAAAGGGCTAATGATTACTATCAAAACGCATGCTGTTTGATATAACTAAATAAATAATTCAGGTAGAATTTATTCGATTCATCATTTTAAATGGAACTAAATGGATCCTTGCAAAATGACTCCCTTACAAATCTAAGTCATTGAAAGTCAAATTATTCCAAAATTTGACTAAAATAATGACGAGATATGGCACTGGGATAAATAAAAAAAGAGGCTGATACATTTGGCAAGAATATTTCACCACAGTTTGCCAAAAGGGCAATCAATCGGTCCCAATTGAACACACACACACTTGATTGAGTAACACAAAATAAATGAAATTGAAATGAAAATATAACAAATAAATAATTATAATTGACAATTCGGTGGTAATATTTTTACAGTTAAAAGCGTAAGTAAATTTACGATAAAATCGACTTTATATGTATTATTTCAGAGTGTGCAGACCAAAATATTTATTCTTTTCTAATTAAAATTGAGATAATTATTTTAAATTATGAATTTGAAGAAGAGATTTCCGAAAAGCAATTATCTTTCACTGAGCTTAACAATAATAATTGTAAATATTAATTAAACGAAAAGCTTTCATTGAAACAATGCTTTAACACATTTATTAAAATCTCATTTTTTATGAATTCAATCAAAAATAGTTTATTAAAATAATAATATCATATGGCATCAACAGAAATGAACTCACCAAAATCTACAAGTTTAACTTCTCCATTTTCAGTTAGAAGGATATTACTCCCTTTAACATCGCGATGAATGACACCAAACGAATGCAAATGGGATAAAGCCGAGACCGCGGAATAGATAAGGTACTGAATGACAATAGGAGGTAAACGACCGGGTGGGTAATCAACTTCAAATTTGGACAAATTTCTAGGAATAAATAGTCTTGTAACGTGCTTCTTGGTCATATCCACGCGCTTCTTAACTCCCGACTCAAGGCGATGTTTATTTCGAGCTTTCCGATGACTTAGACAAGGACAGTGTGAAAAGGCGAGCTTAGTTAAAAGTTCATTTTTTTGCTGAATGGTAGTTGGAGATGAGGCGTTAGCACAGGATAAATAGCGAATAACAAGTTCATCAGGGCACGTGGAAGTAAGACAAGGAATAAGTTTTGCACACCGTTTGGAGAGCTCGTTAACTGTTCCTCCACCACATAATTCCATTGCGATCCATACTTGGGGCTGCATAAGATCATCTGCTGGACTGTTAACATAGACCCCCATAAATTGGGGAAGGTTTGGATGACTATAACAGAGACGATTCAGTGCTCGTGTTTCTTTAACTTCCTCCAAAGCCTCAGCAATGTCGTCAATAATTTTGATTGCAATACTTTGACCTACAAATTGTGGATTAATAAATAAATAAAGGAAAATTAATTTTTAATGAATTACTTGCAATAAAATCCTTACCTGTATTTCGATAATGTGCTTGCCAAACTTCACCATATGTCCCTTTTCCGATGCGCTTTTCTAATTTAAATGTCTTTTTGGGATCTGCTCTAACGACTTCCATCGTTAATTTCGTCTCTGAAAATTTTCAAAAGTGTAACGGCCTTGCAGTAACGCTTAATTTAGCATTTAAAACAAGTTGAATATGATTCTAAAATTTCAAAAAATATTAAAGTTTATAATAGAATTTTGATTTGGTTTTTATGGTCGATATTAATTGAATTTTAAGCTGACATACTTGTGCATAAAATATATTCATTATATTTTTTAAATAAAAAATAAAATATTTTCTAACAACATTACCAAGGAATAGCCGATTTAAAACATGGTATTCTTTGTAATATCTTTTATTTTGAATTAGAAAATTAATCGTTGCTATTTAATTGTCTAATGACGATGAGTCAATTGTAAATTTATTTTCTTTTTAACTTATTCGAAAATCAAAAATATTAGAAAAGATGGAATTGAAAAACTGACGATTGTCTTAATACGGCCTAAGCTTGGCGATACAAATAAATCAACTAAAGCCATTGCTCTATTAAAATGTGCTGATCGACAACTCGTTTACTGCTCTTGTAAGCTCTTTTTCATAAAAGGTATTCGTCGCAGCGAATATGCTGAAGCGGAGTTAAGTCAACCATTTGTTGGTAATTTATTTCTCTTTCTTAAATAAGATACTCTAAAACTACATATTTTTGTGTAATAATAATTTGATTATCTACATGACTTCTAATCAGTTTCAATATTGACATGAGTTTAAGGGCGCATTTACTTTGAAACCTTGATGCGTATATCTAATGAATCAGCGACTTAGCAAATTGAAATATTTTAAGATGCATTTAAAATGAATACGCTGCAGAAGTTGAATTTTCATAAGGAAAATAATTTAGTAAAACCAGAAATGATTTAGTTATTAACTTTTTATATTTGGGTTTATATAGTTGTCATCGAAGCTTGTAATAAAGTTCATTAATTAGTAAACTTAATTTGTCAATTAAAATCAATGATAAACATTGGTCAGTAAAAAGGCGTATATATAAATTCCAAGTAAAGTAAAATCTTATAAATTTAATTGCACTTTAGCGATAATTATATAAAAGAGCAATAAATATTTTTTTGTAGCTGAATTACTGGAAACGAAGATATATATGTTATTGCTTATGACTGGAACAGTTTTATCATTAAGCTTATTAAATAACCAAATTTCAAGTAAAGACGGCAAATATAGTTTTAAATAATTTAATAAATCTAATATAAAAGCTCAAAATTTAACCCAATAATTTTTATTCACTTGGGGTCTTCGGCAACCTAACTATTGTTTGTTATAATTGTTAGTTATTTAGAAAGTAACTTTAACGTGTTGGGGTATATTCTCATTAATTTGAAGACTCAAAGAATTATTTACTCGATTTTTACTTGTGTTCCTGATTGAGGTTGTATCGATACTGTTTTTTCATTATGAATTCCTTGGATGGGGAGGTTGGTTTCATAAGTCAAACGATATTTCTTTGTAGTTAAATTGGAAACTTACTCTTCTCGGTGAGCTGAAACAGGAGAATTCACTAAAGGTTAATGGCAATTAACTTTCTGAATTTACTTATTAGAATGTTTATACTCAGTTTGGCAACCGCATATTCGTCCGGGCTGATCGGCTGAAAGTAATGGCTCAATGCCAAGGTAATTTCTTTTCATTTAAAAATATGTTTTTAGAGGATATTCGAAGGCTACAAGAGAAGAGTTCTGCAAATAAACCCAGTTAACGTTTTCAACTCATGAGCATTTATTACCTTTGTATATTATTACTTAACTATTATTAGTAGAACGTGTTCTAAAAATTTGTATTTGATTTGGATCACAATTGTTTTTTTACGTTCACTGAATGCCTTTTTGGTGCAAATAATACAGTGGCCAACAATCATATTATTTTTTTTAATTTTTTAGGCGTGTTTAGTTTATTTTCGCTTTTTTATTACTAACTCTGATTCTTATCCTTCGTACTTCTTGCGAACGAAAATGTTCTTATTATTTTTTCTTTTGCTCTATCGGGAACTTAATTGGCATTTTTAAGATCATTTTCCGAGTCGGTACTTTAATGGTTGCTTTCAAGTAAAGGTTATGTTTCCGCTTCCCTACCATTACACCTGTTAATTTAATTTGTCTGTAATTTAATTTTTTTGCTAACCATGGTCCTTATTGCATTAGTTAAAAGATTTTATGTTGCTTACAAACTCATGTTCTAGCTCTTACTTTATGAAGCTGCGCGACTAGTCTTAATTTGAAGAATAATTCAAGCCACTCACATCACTTGAAGAGTTCTGATGTGAACATCAACAAATTTACCCGATAAATTTGAATAATTTGGCAGTTATTAATTGCCATCTCTTGGGTCTGTCATTGTGAGTTCTAACGCGACTAATTGGATTTAGTGCCATGTCTGGGCGTCTCCGTCTTGTACCTCGGACACTTCTCAAAGATAATTCAAAATGGCCTAAGTTGAATTTGATTAAAAAATTTTCGGAAACTTCAATTTTACCGAAGATTCGATTGTAAAGGAGTATCTTATCTCATCATCCACAAAAGAACGAATCGGGATCTCCATATGATGTTCAAATTCATAAATGAATTTTAAGTAAGTAGACTTTATGTAACGAAGTATAGCTTAGAATGCGAAGGAGTTTTGAGACGAAGAGTAGTACAAATTGGAAGATGAAATTTGCGATTAACTCCGGGTCAGGGTATAGTTGATGGCGTTTTCAGCTTTGGTTTTTTGGGGTATCTACTAGGGATATTTTGCCTACCTCCTTCAAAATTGACAAACGCTTGTAAAATTATGTGAAGAATTGAGCATAGCAACTTAATTAATAAGACTTGACGCATCTAGAAATAGGGTGCTGGGGTTTATCAGATATGCTGTCAAATTCTATACATTTTGATTTATTTTTTGACAACGTTTTTTTCAGCTCGTGGCATCTTAAACTCTGTTGTAACGAAGATGGGTAGGTGTGACCACCAACTTATTTTTAATCTTTCCCTGATGTGATTTGAAAAGCACGAAGTACTGAAGCTACAGGTGATGTCCAACCTCTCTACTTGATCGTCTCCTGTTTCCAGAGAGAAGAGACTAAAGAACTGCAACGAAATTGCTTATTTTTACGATCGGATTCTTTGTATCGTACTTTTCCGATCCTTCGGTAAACGCAATATTGCAAGTTTTGGATCATCACTGTCCCTACCGTATTTCACTGTGAACATAAACTGCTCACTCCAATCTATCCTATAGGGGCGTCAGTATCCGCCGATATTGGACTTTAACTATAATTGCTAATTTCGCTATTATCCAGTCATGATTTCTATTTATGAATAAATAATTTTCCATTCATTTGGACATTAGTGTTAATCATTGACTCCGAATTGTCAAGAATGGTACTGTCTCCTAAAGCAAAATGTGCTTACGTGTACAATGAATAAGTGAATCTAAAATCGATTAAATATTTTGAAGGTGTCTTCATCCCTTAGGATGCAGGACGCAGAAATACCTCTTATAATCAGGTTGGCGCTTTGAACAATCTCTCAAAGAGTGCTCAACAAAGCTTTCGATATGTTTTCAAATTGATATTACAGTTATTTTGATTGTGGTGTCCAGACGGCTGTAAGATGCCACTTTAAAAGAACGTGCTTTCTTTGGAACCTTCTGGGCCTCCTCTGAGCAGTTTTTATTGCGCTAAGTGGCTACATTGGATCCCATATGTAAGAAATTGTTAGATGCGTCACTAACAACTCCAGGAAATGGGCCGTCCATTTATTTTTCATGAGCTGATCTAATGCCGCTACCACCTTTTCCCTTCTCCTGGAATTCGGACCTATTGAAATCGAATGTATTTCCTGCAATGATAGCGCTTCTTTTCTGATCTCCGAAGTTGATGATTTACCTCATTTTTTTGCTGTCTATTATCAGACTTTATTGCACCACACTTCCTCCAAGTAGAAGGGACTAAATTATTTTTTTTCTGCTACGAGAATCAGAAAAAATAGTTGCATCTTCTTTAATGACTTTTCTATTGCTTTGAAGGAGATTGGGCACGAGTAGGAAGCGTTTCCCAAGTGCTATCTAAATTCCTCATCATTAACACAATTTATGGCATCCATCGTTGAACCTGGGTAGTCATTTTCAGTTGAATTACTGGATGCTGGGGTGTCATTTAAATTAATAGATAAAATATTGACATTTTTTTTAAATTCTCAACGGCAACACAAGGAAGGGTCATGCGCTTTCGTTTGAATATGATCTTAGTGGTCAATTGATCACCAGCGTTCAATAAAACTACTACAAGGTTTAATAGGTAAACAAACTAAGAGGTTATAGTGATGAGGATAAAGGGGGTATTCTGGTCTAGAGACATAAATTTTAGGTAGTTTTTGAAGTGCTGTAAAAAAAGCAAGCAATATTTTTATCATCAATTTTTATACATTATTTATTCACATTAGAAGCATACCAAAAAAATAAAAAAGTGAAAAAATTCCAAATTCCGATAGTTATCAGCTGGTGGAGTGGGCGTCTCAGAAATTTGATGCGTGGCCATTCCCATGATTTTAACTCTCCTAGCAATCTGAAATCAAAAATAAAAAAGATTATCAATTTACGATAATGTTGCAATGTCCGGAACTACGGAAAAGTTACAAAGAAATTTTTTATAAAATGGAGACTGTTTAAAGAAAAAATTCTTGTACCACTTTTTTGAAAGTTCTTCGATTTTTTAAAAATAGAAAAAAAATAAAATTTTGGGATGGTCGTAGTTCCGGACGTAGACAAGTCCCTAAAGAAGACTCTCTTAACGTTTCAAGTAAATCGGTTCGGCAGAATCTGAGAAATCGTGGGTATCAGATTCAAAAAGACAGTTCTGAGAAAAATGCGTTTAAAGTTTCAAGTAAAATGTTTTGCAGTCTAAGTCATAAAATTATATATTTAACTTCATTTATTCAATCTACCATTCCTGCTGCATACATCGGACTTTCCTCGACTTCGAAAAAACTATTTTCGGCGTATCTGTTTTCTATTCGAGCAAT